AATATAAAAAACTTCTAACTTCTCAGCTTATAAATGAAATTAAGGTAATAGAAATGTATTTACTGTGTCATATAAATAAAACATTAGTTCACAATGAGAACTATTATCACCCAAAAAGAATATTAGGGAAATAGACATAAATAGATATAGTCAAAGAGAATTATAAGAGGTGCATCACTTTGAACACACATTTCGTATGTTTACAGATGGATTAATCACACTTTTAATTAATATTCACATAAATTTATCATTTATGAACAACGTGCTATAATTTAAAATATGTATCATTCAAGTCTAAGTTGTTGCAAAGTAATAAAACTCAGAAATTCGATGTCAAACCACAAGGAATTGGCGAAGTAAGAACATAATGAAATTAAAAAGAAATTATTTATGATCCCTTTCCAACTCCACAAAATAATTATTTATGATCCGATTTTTAAATTCAATTAAAAATCAGCTGAGAAGTGATCTTAATCGAAATATGTAACGGTGATAATATTGAGAATGTATCCAAATGTATAACTAAAAAATTATATGGATTAAAATTAGTATTTAATTGTAGATCACAAGAATTCACCGTACTCAAAGTCGACAATGAATCAAAATCTCCAATAAAAAAAGATTTTTTATTGCAAACAAAAAAAGATTTTTTATTTCAAACAAAAAATCAAGTATTTTTTGAAAATTCTAATTAATTAATCAAAACATGCAAAACCAATTATTTGACTCACAATGAATCTCAAACATTCGGTGCACGTTACATAACAAATCAAGATATTTTACAGAGCAAAAAATTTACTAAAATGCATGAAATGATTAAATAAAAAAATCATATATTAAAAAATGGTGGATAAAAAATAAATATCGCATTTTATTAGAAAAATCACCCCTAGTTTTAGTTGAGAATTTAACAATCCATGAAAAGAATAAAACAAAAACTAAAATTAGAGAAGAGGGGCTGAAGGAAGAATGACCCTCCATAGTGTTTACAAAAGTTTATATAGAGATTAAGAAAATAAAGAAAACCTAAAACAAAGTTAAAGGCTTGTTCTTAGCAAATCTTCCCATCGCGCCCAGACGCGTATTTTGGTACATCTGGACACACTAATTTACGTTGACATTTTTGCTTGTTACGTTCGGATGCGTGTTTTCAATTGCTCAAATGTGTTTAAGTTTTTTTTACAAACTTCCAACGTGATTTTGATATAGTTAGAAGTTGAATCACTAAATTTTAGGAAATACTTGAAGTCTACTTTTTAATGTTACAAAGATCAGATAAATCAGACATCGGGTAAAAAGTTATGATTAAAATACCAAAATAGTGTCAAAATCTTTTCTTCCCAAATTCTCACGAATGCGTATTTATGCTTCAGAATGCCTCCCAACTTTTTTTCTTCATCAAATCATCCCCTATTTTAACTGAATGCCTCCTCCATTATTTGCTCAATTTGGATTATTATATTATCATTAGAAATCATCTGAATTACCTACAAAATGAGACAAATAACTAGAATAAATATAAAGTTAAAAAAATCAAGAATGTAACACATATAATCCTAAATAATATGTAATTAACTCATTCTTAAATATAACAAAATAGCACTTTTGGATTGTTCGGACTCAC